AGTCTTATATGGTTAGTATATAACAAACTATATTTGGGTCTTATACACCCAGTCGTCTTATACGCCGGCAAATACGGTACTATTCTTATTGGATGTCATTCTGACCAGTGTGGCCTCATGGGATAGAAAGCTTTTCTGTCAGTTTGCTGCCCAGCCTGGAAAGAAAAAAGCAGAGAGCAGAGTTTGATCTTCTTGAAAGCAACTGCTCTGTTTTAAAAACCATTATTAAAAATTGCAGTTTGTATATTCTTGCTCTGCAATCTGGCAGCAGATTCTAGTGTGTTGAGATATTTCAGCATCACTCTGTATTATTATCCACATGAGTGCTGATAGTAAATTTCTCTAACACAGATGTAATATTTCTAGTTATTTGAAGCCACTGGAAATTTTGGGCAAACGTGAAATGTGTGTAATGCTTATTTTTGTCAGACCTAGATTTATGTTATGCTACCTTAGTGCCATGAAATAGTTTGATTGTATGAAATATTAGAGTTTGGCATATTTTTGACATTTAGACATATAAAAGACTTTAAACATATAAAAGACTTCATAAGAAAAATTGTGAGTATACACTGCACTTCTCCCTTCAACAGTGCTGAGGTTAGGAGTGTTGATCTCTCTATTGGGGTTCTCTTCTATAGCGAGAATCCTTTCCATACAGCACCATATACAGTGGGACCTCGACTTGAGAATGTCCCTGCATAAGAACAATTCAAGTTAAGAATGGTTCCGTTCGCAAAAAGTTGTTTCGACTTGAGAACGGAGCCTCAACTTAAGAACCAAAAGAAGAAGAAGAAAAAACCTTTCCTGCCCCCTTTTTTTGACCTAAGTTCACCTTAGGTCAAAAGAAGAAGAAAAAATTTGCCCCCTAGTGGTAGATATGGATTAACTGGCTTTGCGTTAGTTCCTATGGGAACTAATGCTTCGACTTAAGAACACCGCCTTGATTTAAGAATGAAAACCAGCAGATACAGATTAAATGATTCCTATGGGAAATGGTGCTTCGACTTAAGAACGTTTTGGCTTAAGAACACAGTCCCAATACAGATTAAGTTCTATAGTCAAGGTACTACTGTATAATGAGCCTTAAAAGTCGTTATGATCCTCTGATCTAGAAGCTGAATTAGAGAAGTTCTGTTTGGGGGCAGGCAGACCAATTTGATGCCAGCATGGGATTCTGGGTGGCCAGGTACACAGTATTTGAATATTTATATATTGAATATTTACTTACTGAGTATTTACCCACTCAGTCACTTACTTGGGAAAAAAATCTGTGTACAGTGGCGCCTCGCTTAACGAGCGCACCGTTTAACGACGAATCCTCATAGCGATGCGTTTTTTGCGATTGCTAATGCGATTGCATTGCGATGTTTTAGGTGGCAAAACATCGCATTGCGATGATCGGTGTTTTGCTTACTGATCTTCGCATTGCGATGTTTAGAAAACAGCTGATCGGTGGTTCCAAAATGACCGCCAGATCAACAAAATGGCCACCCGTAGCGTTTTCGCGCCAATTCCTCGCTTACCGAGGTGGCGAAAATGGCGGCCCTATGGAGGATTCCCGCTTAGCGGTGAGTTTTTCCCCAATAGGAACACATTAAATGGAGTTTAATGCGTTCCTATGGGTTCCCCCCGCATAGCGACGAATCTGGATAGCGACGTTAATCCTGGAACTGATTAACATCGCTATGCGGGGCACCACTGTATACCCAAAACTGTTGTTCAGACCCATGCAATTCAAGGCAGACATGGATAGTAAAGAATGAATTGCAAATTGCTGTACTCTATGCTAGATGAGCACTTTGTAGGAAGAAAAATGCAAATAGAAACTACAAATTCTGCGGTGAACTGTATTAGGTGGACATGAATAGCATTCAATCCTAATGTGATTCTCTCAATAGGAGATGACAAGCAGCAGTCTGAAAGCTATAAATACCCCCTATAATATATGATCTTCTCCTGAAGATGGCAGCACTTGCTAGGAGCAGACATGCCTCTTGCATTTGAATTGTTCAACAGCTGGACTTGAGCTTGAACTAGTGTGGCACAGTGGCTTGGGAATGGAGAGATCCAGTTATAATTCTCACTGAGCTACAGAACTCGCTGGGTGGCCTCTTGCCAATTACATTCTTTTAGCTTGATCTATCTTACAGTGTTATTGTAAGGATAAAATACGAAATAAAAGATACTAGGTATGTTGCTAAACAGTTCCGCTCCTTATGTCTAAAGAAATGAACTGTGACCCATGAATACTCACACTGAAATAAATTCTGGTCTTTTGTTTTATTTTTATAAGATTTTTAATTTTACTTTATTTTAGTTTATTTTGCGATACCTGCTGAAACAAACTAAAACAGCTAGATCATTGACAAATAATTGTAGTATTCTCTAACACCTTCTCCCTCCCTATTTGTTAACATTAATTTTCAGATACAGATGTGTGCTGGGTATAGAATGCTTTCTTTGGCAAAGGATGGAAACAAGTGTATAAAACTATGTAATGTCTGAAACCTTGTGTTCACAATCAATCTGGATGCCATAAAATGTAGTTTGTGTATGAAATAATTGGAGCATACATTTTATGTCTTTGGCTGCATTCTAAGGTTTTCAGCTGGAGTCTAGTTACTCTACAGTATTTTATTATGAAAACTGTTTTCCTTCTAGAATTAAGTTAGTTTAAGAGGTTCAAATTCATTTAACTAGAATTATTTTGACATTAATAAATGGTGAATACAGACTTCTTAAAACCCTCTAGTAGGTTTAGCTTCTATTTTCCTATGTGATAAATAGTTTTGCAGTTGTATTTCACCTGTGACTCACAAACCTCTGGAGATAAAACTGCAACACCCTCCAGAACATTGTCTGTGAGGTGATGCATGTATAATTCCTCCTAGACTTCCTAAAATAAATTGAATAATGTAATGCTTATTTATAATTCATAATGATGGACATATTCAAGTTTAAGGTATTGTTTTGTCACCTGTTGGGGATGTGTATATAATTTTTGGCATAATGTACAAATTAATAGCAGATACATCTGGACTGATTTTTATGATGTAATTATTATCATTGGTAAGTGTACTTTATTTCCAAGGAAGTCTACTAAGAGACATTTGAGAACATGAATTGGATTTCTGGAGCTTAAAATCCTATACATCATCATTCTAGGAGTTCCAACTGGCAGACAGAACTTCAGACATATAAATGTGGCTCACTTGGGAGAAAGACCGATGCTGGAAGGGTTTGTTGGCCTAACTCTGCTTTGCTTCATGTACAGAAAGGAATCTGCCCCATGTCTAGCTGGGAGCTTCCTTTGTGAACAGAAAGCTAGGCCTAACTAGGTCCCAGAACCTTCCAGTCTAGGCCTTTTCCCCAAGTTAGCCACATTTAGGTGTTTGTCTGGTGGAATTCCCAGAATAATTATGAGATTTGTAATCCAAAAAAAAATCAAAAATCCCATTCCTATTTGAGAACTGTTTTGTTCCAGCATATATTATGGATTTGAATAATTAGCCAAATAACTCCTTGAGCTATTTCCTTCCGTTTCCCTGCAAGATAATGTTTATAATATTTCACCAGAGGTTCAAATGCAATGCTATGCGCAATGCTGTGCTCCTTTAGTGTAGTGTTGGCACTGGAATCGTATGACACATGTTACGTGCCTGGCTGCACAGCTAGTATATGGCAGGAACCTCACCAAATAGCCATGGTTGTTTCTGCAACTTCCATTCTCCATCTAGTAATTCTCTAGAGCAGCGTTCCCCAACCTTTTCTGGTCCCTGGACCGGTTGGGGAAGGCGGGGCACCTCCGTGGTCACGTGCATGCGTGAACAAGTGTGCTAGTGCGTGGGCCTGCATGAGCGCACATGCGGGCCTATGTGCAAATGGCAGCACGCCACTTGTGCAGGCACAAACAGGCAGTGCAGTGGTGAGTGTGCGTGGGTGGCGGCTGGAGGTCTCCCTCGGCAGCCCAGTCTGACCCACATCACAGACTGGCACTGGGGGTTGGGGAACGCTGCTCTAGAGTAGTAGTTCTCAATCTTGGGTAACTGAGGTGTTCTTGGATTGCAGCTCTCAGAATCCAAGAATAGCCTGGATTATCCGAGGTTGGGAACCACTGCTCTAGGATCTTGGACTCCATTTTCTCTTGAGGGGAGTTAAAAACAAATATATCTAGTGGGGACTTCTAAAAATGTATTAGGTATATTTGTGGAATTTTAAATTCCTTACAATGTAAATACTTCTCAGTTTGAATGATTCAGAATTCATTTCCAAGACTTAGCATCATTTTTGGTGCAATTCATCATGTCAACTCTCAACTCTCAAATAAGTTTGAGCACAATGGTGCTCAAACTTATTTTCTCAGATAAATATATATGGAATTTTAGAATGATACAGTTTCTGTGCCTTTGTGCAGGTGGATACTTTCACTTGCACAAAGGTACAGAAACTATCATTTTAAAATTCTATATATATTTATCTGAGAGCAAGTCCCATTGTACAAGTCCCCACTATATACAGTATATATACATATATATATATGTATACAGTGAAATAACCAATTTCTGAAAAGCCCATGGACTGCTTTTTCACTGGTCTTTTGGAGGTGAAGATTTTCATTATTTCTGAGCCATAGATGTGACGTAAGTGATGTCTCATGGCTTTAAAAGGTGATAGAATAAACAGTCATGCCTGTTTATGAACTGGTTTCTTAATTTTATCCCCTACATGTCTGAGACCAAAAATATAGTAATGTTTTAAAAATATAGTTAAATGCTGTAAACCAATTTTTGCATTGTGATATTATTAGTATTGTCCTAATTTTGAACTGTATAAACTTGTATTAATGACCTGGGTTGGTTAAATATAGAGGATGCAGTAATTTACAGAGCAAAATCGTAGCCTTCCATAATAAAATGGAAAAAAATATGGAGGCCAAGAAAGCACAATTCTGTGTTGGAAAGTGAACTAACAGCTGATCAAATCATTTGTTTCCTTAGCCACGCGCCGATCCCATTCCAATATGTAGCTTCTGTTTGGGAACAAAAGAATCAAACCGTGAGAAAAAACCAGAAGAACTCCTTTCCTGTGCTGACTGTGGCAGCAGTGGTAAGTTTTTCATTCTGGCTGAACTTGAGCTGTGTGTGTGTGCTCGTAAACTGATGGCTATCCCAGGCAAAATACAAGGAGCTTTTGTTTGTGGAATGAGACTAGTGCTCATGGAAAGGCATACAGTATTTTGGTATCTTTGTGCAAGGGGGGGGGATATAAGTGTGCATAGAAGCCTCACCCACTGAATGTCCCCTATGCATGGAAGAGTTCCAGGCATATACAAGAGAACTCTGTAAGTGCCTTTGGATATTAAAGGAAAGAGAGGGAATTTTCCTTCTCTTCTTTCTTTCCCAAACCCAAGTAAATGAGAAACAAGCTCCTTGAATTTATATTCTTAATTGGAGTATATGTTCCACGTACCGTCAATCCCCAAGTGAGACAAAGAGCGTTTGTTTTCCAAGATATATACATATACAAAGCTTGTGGTGCACAGTGTGTTTAGAAAAAATGGAGTTCTTGAAATTATTACATACATTTTTATAATAGGTACATAATAGTACTAATTTTTCATGTGAAAAATGCCTATAAATTCTCTCACAAGAAGAAAAACTGAATCTCACAAGCTTATATGTAACTACAGTGGTTCCTCACAGAACGGTCGCTCCGTAGAGCAACGGTGCCGTTTTTGCGATCGCAAAATGGCACGTAGACAGGGCACAATTCACAGAGCGAAGGTCGGTAAGCGATTCGCTTTGCGACCTGCCGATCAGCTGGTCGACGGGTCCAAAATGGCTGCCGCGTGACCCCAAAATGGGCACGCGCAGCGTTTTGCGGCCGGCCATTTCGGCTGTTCCGGCGGCCATTTTGGATCCGCCGGACAGCTGATCGCAGCCATTTTTGCGCCCTCGTTCAGCGAGGGGAGGGCGCAAAAATGGCTGCCAGCCGCCCGGAAGCATTGTTGAACAGTGAGTATTCAGCCCAATTGGAACACATTAAACACTGTTTAATGCGTTCCAATTGGTTTTCTTGCCCCGTTCAACGATGCTTTCACACAGCGAGGGTTAATCCGGAACGGATTAACCTTGCTGTGCGAGGCACCACTGTACTACATATAATTGTAACAACGGGTCATGATATAGTAAGGTTTGAATGTGAAAATTGATGCATGGAACACAGGTAAAACTAACCTACATAATATCTAGTAGCCATTAGAACTCTCAACAGAAGTAACCACATACTAGAGCTAATCTTGACACTACAACTTAGCTGGATGTCTTTCAGAAATAATACTCTTCCTGACTTTAAAAGAAAGCAAAATGAAAATGCCCATTTAGTAACTAACATAGTAAAATGTATTCACCTGCATTTAAGATGTAATCTTTACAGACTCTGATATGGTACAAGAATAGGACAAGAATACAGCTGGGTTTGGCAGACAAAGAATTTTGCACCCTGAATCTAGAGTCCGCTGGCTGGATAGTTCAATTAGTTTAAGGGAATAGGACAAGAATAAACCACTTCTGAATACAGCGGGGCCCCGCATGACAATGATAATCGCTGTACAGCGAAATCATCGTCAGGCCAAAAAAAAAACCATTGGAATGCATTGAAAACCGGTTAATGGGGAAATACCTCATCATCCAGTGAAGATTGCCCATAGAGAACCGCCGATCAGCTGTTTAACATTGCTGTTTTGCGAAGCCTCTGACCGGAAAACAGCCACTTTGCGAAGGGAAGCCAGCCATTTTGCGAAGGAAAGCCATTTTGCGGAGCTGGAAAAATTGTTTTGCGAACAAACAGTTTGCGAAGCAAGGACCTAATCAACGTAAAGCAAAAATCCCCCATAGGAAACATCGTTTTGTGATCGCAATTACGATCGCAAAGAAGTCATTGTCGTCTAGCAGGGCATCACTGTACTCTATCTGATGGCACATTATTATTATTCAGAAACACGAGGCACAATCAAAATTATAAAAACATTGACTGGTATTATAGAACAGATACAAGTTTTAACCAAAAACCTAAGTATCTGTTAAATCAGTGGTCTCCAACCTTGGGCCTCCAGATGTTCTTGGACTACAACTCCCAGAAGCCTTCACCACCACCTCTGCTGGCCAGGATTTCTGGGAGTTGAAGTCCAAAAACATCTGGAGGCCCAAGGTTGGGGACTACTGTGTTAAATGTCAGCACAGTATGTATGCTGTTCCTAATATTGTCATTTGTTGTAACTCTGATGGTGTGATTTCTGAGATCTGCAACTGCTTATAGTACTGTGTGAAATTTCTTGATATTGTTCCTAAATTTCCAATGACTATGGGGACCACCGAAGTGTCTTTCTTCCAGAGACAAGATGTTTTGATTTCCAGGTCTCTGTACCTTGTTAGTTTTTCCAATTCTTTATTTTCAACTCTGGCTTTGATTGTATTTCCACGATTTAATTTTGATTTTAAGATTTTATTCACTTTCTGTGTATTCTCAAAGGCTTTCACGGCCAGGATCTGATGGTTGTTGAGGGTTTTTCGGGTTCTTTGGCTGTGTTCTGAAGGGTGTTCAGTTCTACTCCAGTCCTCTGAAGATGCCGGCCACAGAAACTGGCGAAACGTCAGGAAGAACAACCTTCAGAACACGGCCAAAGAACCCAAAAAACCCACAACTATTTCCTTTCTGTTAGTTGCTTAACTTTTGTGTGTACGATGTTATCTGCTTCTAGTATTTCAAGGTATTTATAATTTTAATCCATGACAGTGATTTTATAATATTGCCATTTTAACTCTATTCCATCTAGTTTTTGGATCTTGTCACCAGTGTATAGAGCTGCACCTTTGTCAATTCCAAATTTCATTTGGATATTGTCGCTAAATATTTGTACTGCATTTAGCAGTGATTCTGTCTCCAGTGAATTTTTTTGCATATACTGTAGTTTTAGGTCATCCATTTATAAGAGATGATTGATTTTTCCTGCTTGTTCTTAAATATGGTAGCCTAATCCAGTTTTATTTAAAATTATTGACATTAGGATTAGTCAGATGAATCCCCTTGAAATAGTCTTCTTTGGATGCTAATCTCCCCAATTGCATCACCATGGGTCATTAAGACAGTTTTCCATTTTTCCATGTTTTTCTTGAGGAACATCTGAATGTTTTCACTAATCCCAAACATTTTGGGCAGGTGTTAATCCAGCTGTGTGGCAGTGAGTCGAATGCCTTTTTAATAGCCTATCCAGGCCATGTTAAGGTTTATTTCTCATCTTTTCACATTCTTCAGTATCATTTTATCAATAAGCAGCTGATCTTTTGTGCCTCTTGACTTTTCTGTTCAGTTAGGTACAGGGAATTTTCAGTTAAGTAAATTATATATTGATCTTGCAAGGACTCCTGTGAGAAGCTTGAACATTGTTGGAGGGCATGTAATTGGTCGATAATTACTGGGTTTGTTGCCCTTATGATAATTTTTTATTATCAGAAATATGCGACCTGTTTTCATCCAGTCTTCAGTTGTAGAATTTTGAAGTACGGTAGGTGGTTAAATTGCACTTCTATGAAGTGGTTAAATTTCACTGCTATTGTTATTATTA